ACAGGGCCAGGGAGATGATTAAGTGGTTAAAGGTGCTTGCTGCTGTTGGGGCTGGAGAGATGGCTCAGTGGTTAAGAGCACTGATTGCTCTTGCAGAAGACCCGGGTTCGATTCCCAGCACCCACATGGCGGCTACGAACCGTCCCTTAACTCCAGTTCCAGGGGAATCTGAAGCCCTCTTCTGAACTCCGCGGCATTGCACGACATGGGTGCACTGACATGCATGCAGGCAATACACTCATACACATAAAATAAAAATAAATAAAAATCGAAGAAAAAAAAGTGCTTGCTGCCAAGGCTTGTGTGCTGTATAGCTTTAGTGTCAACTGACACAGCTGGGTTGAGGGAGCCTCAGTTGGGGAATTGCCTCTATTGGACTGACCTGTGGTCATGTCTGAGGAGCATCTTCTTGATGAGTGATGTGGGTGGGCCCAGCCCACTGTGGGTGGTGCCACCCCTGGTCAGGTGGGACTGTGTTGCATAAGAAAGCAGGCTGAGCAGGGGCTAAGGGAGCAAGCCAGTAAGCAGTGTTCCTCCATGGTCTGTGCTCCAGCTCCTGCCTCCAGGCTCCTGCCCTGAGTTCCTATCTTGGGCTCCCTGATGAACTGTGACCCGGAAGATGTAAGATAAATAAACCCTTTCCTCCCCAAGTTGATAGTGGTCAGAGTGTTTTGTCACAGCAATGGAGAAACAAACTAAGACAGCTTATGATCTGAGTTCAATCCCTGGGGTCCAGATGCAATAGGAGAGAACCAACTCCCGCTAGTTGACCTCTGACCTCCACACTGTGCCATATATGAACCCCCCCCCAGCACATACATACAAGCACACAGAGAAATAAATGTGAAAAAAGAAATGCTTTCTTTAAAAACAAAAGCGAAGCTGGACATGGTGGTTTAATCCCAGCACTAGGGAGGCAGAGGCAGCAAGATCACTGAGATCAAGGCCAGCCTGGTCTGCATAGTGAATTCCAGGCCAGCTGGGAACTTGTCTCAAAAAAAACCAAAAATAAATAAAATAAGCTGGATGTGGTGGCACATGCCATTATTCTCAGCACTTGGGAGTCAGAAGCAGGCAGATCTCTGTGAGTTCCAGGTCAGCTGGGGCTACAAGGAGACCCTGTCTGAAAAAGACCAAAATAAATAAGAAATAAAAACAACAAAAAAATCCCTGATATGGAGTGATCTCCAGGACATACTGTTATGATGAGTGGAAAAAGAAAATACCCCAAAGAGTATCTGTTTAAAACAGAGAGAGAGAGAGAGCATCCATAGTAATTATAGATTTTTTTTTTTTTTTTTTTTTTTTTTGGTCTTTTTGAGACAGGGTCTCCCTATAGCCCCAGCTGTCCTGGAACTCACTATGTAAACCAGGATGGCCTTGAACTCACAGAGATCTGCCTGCCCCTGCCTCCTGAGTGCTGGGATCAAAGGCGTGCACCACCATGCCCGGCTGTAATAATAGATTTTTTTACATGTAAGAAATGATACAAGGGCTGGGAATGGTGGTGCAGTCCTTAAATCCCAGTGCCAGGGAGGCAGAGGCAGAGGCAGGTGGATCTCTGTGAGTTCAAGGCCAGCCTGGCCTAACATAGTTCCAAGCCAGCTAGGGCTACTGAGAGACCCTGTCTCAAAAAAGACCAAAAAAAAAAAAAAATCTGTCCACTTGTACCGAAGAAATACAGGAAGTAGTGGGCAGTGACACATGTCTGTAATCTCAGCACTTGGTAGAGCCAGGAGGATTAGAAGTTCAAGGTCATCCTTGGCTATATAGGGAGTTTGAGGCCAAGCTGGGCTCAAAAGAGATCCTGTCTCAAAAACAAAACAAACATAAAACAAAGAATAGAAAAAAAAATAGAGAAGTGGGGCCTGGAGAGATGGCTCGGTGGTTAAGAGCACTGACTGCTTTTGGAGAGGACCCGGGTTCAATTCCCAGCACCCACATGGCGACTAGAAAGAGCTGAAAGCTTCAGGAGGAGCCTGGCCTTGTCTGCACCTTGATTTGGGATTTTTAGTCTCCCAAAGCTGGGGAGGTAACAGCGTTTCTGGTTTTTCCTTCTTCTTTGTTATGCTGGGGACTGAATCCTTCTTGCACTTGCTAGTCAGGGCTTCTACTTCTGAGCTTCATCTCCACCCCAGATTCCTACAGAGGGTTTAGGTTTTGGGTTTGGGTGACAGGTGAGGGAGGAGTTCAGACAGGATCTTCCTTCACAGTCTTCCTGCTTCACCTGGGATTAGTAGGCATGTGTCACTGTTCACAGTGGATTTCTGTTTTATACACGTAGGACTGAGGATGGAGCTCAGTTGGTAGAGTGCTTATGCCTAGTATACACAAAACCCTGAGTTCATTCCCCAGCACTGCATAAACCAGACAAAGTGGCACATACCTTAATCCCAGCACTCATGTGGTGGCAGGATTAGAAGTTGGTTGAGATCCATCCTTGGCTGCATAGCCCTGGGTTACATGAGACCCTCTCTCAGAACAAGTAAGCAAACAAATGTCTGGGGGAGAGGTAAAAAGTAAGAAAAAAATCCATATGGATTCTAAGCTACTCTGGGCTATACAATGAGATCATGTCAACAAAAATACAGGTAGAAAATTATAAAAGAGACAGGAGAGATGAAGATAGAGAACGGAGACAGGTCAGGCAGGACACAGAACTGTTTGAGACAGGAAAGTGTCACCAACCCTGGAGCTGGGTGCGGGTGCGTCATAGTGAGGGATGTGCTGAGCCTGCAATCTGGCATCTAAGCTGTGGGGATTCCCATTACTCCTGGCCTGTCATATCCCCTCTACTGATGACTTTCTTCTGGAGCTGAGCCCAGCTCAGAACTCTCCAGATGAACACGTATTGGGGATTTGTGGAGGTGGAAGTGGGTAATTAGGCTGGTGCCCCAGCTTCTGCTGAGAACAGTTCACGTCTGTTCACAGGGTTTACACAGAGGCAGAGGACTAGACCTTCTGCTGATGACAAACTGGGTCCCCTCTGAGACCTGAAGATTAAGGGTTCAGGAAATTGATAGCCGAAAGAGCGAATCCGGAAGAAGGGGCGCTCAATCCAGTCTTTGAGAATCAGGAACAGATATCTAGGGCTCCCCCTCCAGCAGCTCAGGCTCACCATGCTAGTCTATTGATGCATGCTGGAGTTGGCTCCTCTCTTCCCCCCAAAAGGCTTTCCTTTCACCCAAGGGACAATGCTTGGATCTAGCAGATGGGTGGACCAGGGAAGGAACCCTAGGCATAGGGCCTACATGACAGGAAAGGACTCTGAGGCTCATTTTGTCTTCAGGGTTCAGAGTGCCTGTAGTTGTACAGGATGTTCAGGACTGGATAAGTGCATTCTCCTTGGTGATAGATAAAAAGTAGCCCTATGGCGAATAGGGTTGATCAGGAGAAAGCAGAGTTTATTAGCAAAGGAACACATGGGACAGATTCCCTTCTGGGCAGGGAAAATGTCTGCCCTGGGTCCTGAGCTGTAGTCTTTTTAAGGGGGGGGTAGGCTTCTGCTTCCTGCAGAAGGCGGAAAGATTTTTTTTTTTTAAGGTTGGATGGAGGGAAGCCAGAGAGCAGGACTGTTAAAACCTGTTCTTTTTAGAGCTCAAAGGGGAAGCCTGCTGTGTTGGCCAAACAGTGGAGAAAGTGCTTCTCTTGACTTCAAAGACCAAGGTGCTTATCAGCTCGGTTCCCTTTTCTCAGGAGCATGAGAAGTCCTTGAGATCCTATTGGTGAGGGGGCGGGGCTATCTGAACCTTAACACTTGGACCCTTGGTTATCTTACCTGTATGAAGATCCACCCTGGCCTGCTGTGGCTGTGGCTGTGTAGACTCTGGGCAACAGCACTGGCAGTGGTGGGTGCTTAGGGTTTGCCCCCCTCTCTGCTGTGCAGCATGCAGCTGAGGGCCAGGAAAACTTCTGGAGCATTTGTTTTATCCAACAGTCAGTTGTGAAGCACCTACTATGTGCCACAATAGTGCCAGGCTCGAGGGAGACAGTAGTAAGCCAAAGCCCTGTGTCCACCTGTAGACATCACTGTCCAGTGAAAGAGTAGAGGGGTGAAGAGATTTCAAATGGCTTGGAGCTCACTGAAGAGAGCAAAGCAGTGCAAGGTGGGAAGTGCCCTGTTGTCTGGGGAAGCTGGGACGGGGTGCTGTGAGGGTATAGTTTTGGGGCTGGAGAAGAAGATTCTAGACCTCCAGCCCCAAAACTCTACCCTCACAGCATCCCGTCCCAGCTTCCTCAGACAACAGGAGGACCAGGTGCTAGGGCCAGAGGTTGGGCAGGACTGCCACATGGACGAACCAGATTGAAGGCCCAAGTTAGAGTGAGAAGGCAGGGGGCAGGGATGTTCCTAATTAAAAGAACACCCCCCTCCCCCCAGGGCCTGGAGAGCCCAGGGAGGGTTGTGAGTGGGGGGAATGGAAGCTTCCTTTGGTTTATTGAAGGTGGGGGTTCATCGATGCTTGGCCTGGTGTGAGGCCATGGGGCTAGAGGGAAGAGGCCAAGATGTTCTGTTCAGGAGGTAGAGACACCGCTCCAGAGTCCCTCCCAGTTGCCATGGATTAAGGGTGGTGGGGCGGGCTAGCTGCTGAGAGGGAATGTGGCTTTGTGCTGGGAAAACAAAGAACAGAGCCTGGGGCCCTCTTCTCCTGGGGGTGGGGGTGGGGGTAGGCCAAAGACTGTTGACCGGAAGGGAGGCTGAACCTCAGCTTGGGCTGGAACAGGCTGTATCTCAGAGGCCAGCCAGTAAGTGCCCCACTGAGGGATTCCAGCACCTTCCAAGGCTAGACCTTGGGGCCCTTGAGCTGCAGGACAGAGCAAGAGGGATGCTCAAGCCCTGCTGGCTTATGGAGCCAGATCCGTGAGGGAATTTGGGTAGAGCCATGGACCAGAGATGTTCTGGTGCAATGGGGTGGGGCACCTGGAAGTGGTATGTATGGAAAGAGGCCAACTAAGGTTCCCAGGAGCTCCAGGACCCTGACAGCCACTTCCTCTCCTTCCAGCCCTACCGCTGAGGCCCTACTGTCCCCACTTCAACGTGGGGGCCCACCAGGATGAGCAAACTGCCTGGGGAACTGGCCTGTGACTTGGAGCGCAGCCTGCCGGCGGTGGCCTCCCTGGGTGCCTCACTGACGCAGAGCCAGAGCTTCTCATCACATTTCATCCCACCACCTCGAGAGAAGCGCCGAGCCATCTCTGATGTGCGCCGCACCTTCTGCCTCTTTGTCACCTTCGACCTGCTCTTCATCTCCCTCCTCTGGATCATCGAGTTGAATGTGAGTGGGGGCCGTGTTAAGGGTCCCCTGGTTCTTGGTTCACCCACTTGCTACATGGGGTTACCTCAGTCATTGGTTGTCTGGGTACAGTGAGGAGTGGGAGATAGAACAGTTGTTGGCATCATGGGCTCCATCAGAGGGGTATCATTGCCCAAGGCTCCCCAGGAGGCAGTGGAGGAGGCTGTTTGAACAGGCCTTCCCGGCTTGAGTTGTGCTCTTGGCCTCTGCACCGTACTGCCCCCTAGTGGCAGACTGAGAACAGCGCAGGAGGAGCACCTTTGAGCTGAGGAAATTTTTTGCCAGTCTTCCTGCTGTACTTTGCCCTCTGCCTGAAGTTCATCCATCCATCTATTTATCCAATAAACATGTTTTAAGGCCCTGCTAGTCCCCGGTGCTAAAAGCAGAGGGTACAGCAGGAAGAAAACATAAAATCTCCCAGTATCTGATTTTGGGGAATGTTGCTCAGTGGCCTGGAGATTGAGCTGTGTTCCAGTGCAGTGTCCACGCCCGGACAGTGCTTGGCCACACTCAGGCCTGATCTGACATCATCAGTCCCAAGGCGTGGCTCCTCCCCAGCCTCTTTGTTGATTGTGTGACCTCAGCCCCCAGAGCCTGCCGTATTTTTCATCTGAAGTGTGGGTTTGCTGTCAAACTTATGGATAGCAAGGACCCTTCCTCCAGATCTCAAGCTTGGCCTTTCTTGATAGAAGTGAAGATTTGGGGGCTAGAGAGATGACTCAGCACTTAAGAGCACTGGCTATTCTTACAGAGGACCTGGGTTTGGTTCCCAGTACTCAATGGCAGCTCCAATTCCAGGGGATCCAGTGCTCTCTTCTGTCTTATGTGGGCATTATATGCATGAGTGCACTTACATTTTTGTAGGCAAACACTCATACACACACATAGGCTAAAAATGAATAAAGTAAAAATTTAAAACAAGAAGTTAAGAGCTGGGTGTTGTGGCTCACGCCTTTAATCCCAGCACTCAGGAGGCAGAGACAGGCGGATCTTAGTGAGCCAGCCTAGTCTCCATAGTGAATCCAAGACAGCTGTGGCAACAGGGAGACCCTGTCTCAAAAAGACTGAAAACGAAGTGAAGCGTTTGGGAAAGATCTGGTTGGGGTAAAAAGGACATGTATATTTGACTCTGGGCCTGTTGAGCTGGAGGGAAAGGCAGGACTCTGAGGATTGGTGACTGCCCCTGTGTATGGAAATGAGCCTCACCCTCAGGGAGATACAGGCACCACTGTGGAGGGCCTGGGGCCATGTTGTTGATGAAAGACTGAGGCCCAGCAAGGTTCAGACCCATTGCAGAACTTCTAGGGTCTTAGGCATCTTCCTTTTGAAAGTCCCAACTAACATCCAAGCAAATCCTACACCCACACCCTAATTTAATACGTATTTTATAACTGGAGAAGATCTGGGGAAATGTTGATAATTTTACTTTTTTGAAGTTCTTCGGCTGTCAGTGGTGATTGCTCAGCAGCTGTCATGCATCCTTGAGACTGTGATGGAATCTAATCTATACATTGTTTTCAGATGTAATAAAAAAATGTAGAATACTGGATTTAATTCTTAGTAGAATCAGTATGATATTTCACTTGGCAGTTAATGAAAAATATGTGTGTATCATTTTGAGATAAGGTATGTCTCCCATGCTGGCCTTGAATTCACAGTGATCCTCCTGTCCCAGCCTCTTGAATACTGGTATTACAGGAGTATGGCATAATGCCTTAATTTTTGATTTTTTAGTTTTATTTTCTTATTTTAAACTTAGTATGTATGTGTGTTTATGTATATGTGTGCACATATATGCAGGAGAACATACAAGCACATGTGGAGGATGCACATGCATGTATGTACCTGTATATATAAAGGCCAGAGGTCGACATCAACATCTGGTTATTAGCATCTGAGCCATGGTGTTAAGGGTCTTGGTGAAAATACATGGTGGACTAGGGCAGGGCCTGGAGTGAGCACTGGTCTGCTGACTTTTCATGCTGTCTTCTTGGGCAGCAGTATGATGGATCTCACCCATTAAGCACAAACCTAATTGATCCATTTGCCCCCCCCGCCCCCTCCGCGGGGCTCTGTCTAACACCACTACCTACCGCAGCCCCTATCACCTCATATGGATTGTAGTTGGGAAGATGGAGAACCACAATGCTGGGAGGGAAATGAAATTATACAAGAATCAGTCTCCCAGGACCTGTCTGCCAGGCCTGCCCCTTCCTGAGCAATATAATTGAACACAGTCTGACCCATCTGGGCTGCCTGGGTTCTTAAGGAATAGTGTTGACCTTGGGTCTTACTTAAGTCTCTGGCTAAACTCCTTGCTGCTTCCAGGCCCCTCTGGGTGGCAGCTTGTCATTTCGACTTCTTCTCCAGAGTCTCCCACCTGGCCTTCTCACCATTCTTCAAAGCAAGGGCAGCCTTCAGCTTGGTTCTGCCCACAGAGCTCTTCTTGTCTTCCTCTTCCAGACTAACACTGGCATCAGCAAGAACCTAGAGCAGGAGATCATCCACTACAGCTTTCAGAGCTCCTTCTTTGACATCTTTGTGAGTGACCGTGGGTTCCAAGAGGGAGCAGTGAAACACCTTTGGCTGGGTTCCTTCCTGAACCCCCATTCAGTCTGATGGGAGGAGATTCAGTTCTACTCTTGGGGAGCCCTCAGTCTTCCAAGCTCATAAGTGGGACCCCACCTTCTGAGAATCCCAAGTGTGAACAAGAAGATAGGATACCTGAGCAAGAAGGTCACATGCAAATTGCGCCAAAGGAACGCCGGGCCACTGTTCTCTCCTGAGGCGTGTGTGTCTACATGGGGGTCTGGAGGAGCAGGAGTGGAGGGGTGACTACTCTGCAGCTGGCCCCTGATGTTGTGGTGCCTCACCTACTCCCACCAGGTCCTGGCCTTCTTCCGCTTCTCTGGACTACTCTTGGGCTATGCAGTGCTGCGGCTCCGGCATTGGTGGGTGATTGCGGTAAGATCAGCAATTGCGGTAAGGGCAGCAATGGGCCCTACCTCGGTGGGGGCTGGCGTGAGGGCTAGATGGAGGAGGTCTCACTCCTCAGCCTCTGCCTTCCTGTTGCTCCCCCTCTTCCCCTGCAGATCACCACACTGGTATCCAGTGCATTCCTCATTGTCAAGGTCATCCTATCTGAGGTCAGTGGCTCAGAATCAAGCTGGTCTGATGGGAATTTCACCTAAGGATGGGCTTCTCTTCAGGAAGATTTGGGGTGTCTGCTCCTGCTGTCTAGGTTGGAGAGAGAGGAATCCTGTTCCTTAGTATTTCCAAGGAATCATTTTCACTGTCTCTGCCCACTTAAACCCCTGCTAGCCCAAGGGTTAGTTTTTCTTTTAGCTTAAGACAGGGTCTCAGCCAGGCAAGGTGGCACACACCTTTAATCCCAGTGTTTGGGAGGCCAACCTGGTCTCCATAGTAAATCCAGGCCAGCTGTGGCTACAGGGAAACCCTGTCTCAAAAAGATTTTAAAAAAAAAAAAAAAAAAGGGTCTCATATGGCCTAGGATAACCTTGAACTCTCCCCAGTCTGGGATTCTAGGCATGTATCACCACATTTGATTTATAGTGCTGAGGAACTCAGGGCTTTGTACATGTTAGGCAAGTACTCTACCAACTGAGCTACATCCCAGTCCAAGTCATTCTTTCCTGCTGCCTAAGTTCAGTTTATCCTGCTGTAGATTCGTAATTCATCCTGGAGGCATATGCTAAGACAGGCTCTAAACAACAGGGTATATACCAGTCTGGCTGTCTAGAGCTGGTGGTCCCAGGAGGGGGCTCGGGGTTTGGGGTGACCTCCCCTCCATGGAGTTCAGTGCTCTCTTTCTACCTCAGCTGCTCAGCAAAGGAGCATTTGGCTACCTACTCCCCATTGTGTCCTTTGTCCTGGCCTGGCTGGAGACCTGGTTCCTTGACTTCAAAGTTCTACCCCAGGAGGCTGAAGAGGAGCGATGTGAGTGCTAGGGGATGGATCCTGAGTGGCCCGGGATGTGAGTGTTAGGAGGTAGGGCCTGAGTAGCCTGGATTCAGAGAGGATCACCTCAGCTCCAGGAGAGGGGAGTTGCATGTCTGAGTCAGTCTGAGCCATTTGCCACCTCAGCAACCTCTCTGAGCGGAGGGTGAGCCTAAGGTGGGGGAACTCTGGTTTGATATGACTGCCAATGTCTCCTCCCCCAGGGTATCTTGCTGCGCAAGCTGCTGTTGCCCGAGGACCTCTGTTATTCTCTGGTGCACTGTCTGAGGGCCAGTTCTACTCTCCCCCAGAATCCTTTGCAGGTGAGGGTTGCTGGGTAAGTGAGCTGCCTCAGGGAAAGGCTGTGTGGGGAGCCAGGTAGGCTGGGTCTGTTCTTTCTGTTCCTTCTTTTGGCTCCCTTGGGAAAGCCAACAACCCTCTCCCACACACTTTTAGCCCTCACATTCTTGCACTCATCCCTGAACCCCCACCACCTCCTCTACTCGCTCCCCACCCCTTGTCATTGTCATCTGTACTTGTTTTCTACAGGGTCTGACAATGAATCAGATGAGGAAGTCACCGGGAAGAAAAGTTTCTCTGCCCAGGTATTTGGCTGCCCACCCCCACCCCACCCTTGGAATGGGTCAGGGCTGGGTTCTGCCAGGCTGGTCAGTTTTCCCTACAGAGGGTAGACCTTGGCCTGAGTGCCAGTCAGTGCCTGCTCATTGGAGTGTCTGCCCTACCACTGTCCCATCAGGCCTGTTAGGCTGCCACATGCCTAAGGACACAGGAGTAGCAGCCAACCCCACAGGACACAGGAAGCATGCAGGGCCCAGGGACACCAGCCTGGACCCCACATCCAGCTGAGCCAGGCTCCTCGGGGAGGGATGCGGAACATTGGGCAAGAGAACAGGCCAGGAGTAAGGATGGGTGCAAACCCCAGGCCGACCTCTTCCTGCTCCCTTGGCTAGGAGAGAGAGTACATCCGCCAGGGGAGGGAGGCTACTGCCGTGGTGGATCAGATCTTGGCCCAGGAGGAGAACTGGAAGTTCGAGAAGAATAATGTAAGGAACGCTTTCCTACCAGACCCTCCTGCTTACGGTAGTTTTCACTCCTTTTTCTGAGTTCTGAGAAATGAACCTAAGTGTTGCATGAAATGGAACTGTATTGTAGCCTCAGGGAGGGTGGAGGGGATATGGAACTGGATCTGGCCACAGCCCTGGAGTCAACCACTCGGTAGGAGGCCAGGCTGGACTGGACTTTCTGTCTCCCCATCTTACACAGCCCAGGCTTCACTTCCCTGCTGTTTGGCTCCCTGTGATCCAGGATTTGAAGGGGAAACCAGGCTCTGTGGTGTTTTATTTCATGATCAAAACAACATTATCTAAAAAGATTGCAGAGCTGGGAAAGCAGGGAAACATGCCCGGGTCCTTTTCACTGGCCAGTTCCTCTGGCAGCCCTTGGCAGCTTGGAGGTGTGGTTCTGGTTGGTCACGGTTGCAGCCACATCTGAGCTCCTGTCTTTTAACGTAAGCACAGAGCTGCTCTCCCCACATGGCCTTGTTTGTCAGAAACACCATATTTTAAAGGCTGCTCAGATGTCCCCAGGCTCCTGGAGTGTCCCACCCTGAGCTGCTGGAAACCTGTCCTGCCTGTCACCTGTTCCTGTGCCACCAGCCCCCACCCCCTGCCTGTACCCTCCACCCTCCTCCCTGTCACCCATCTGACCTTATCACAGGAGTATGGGGACACCGTGTACACTATTGAGGTTCCCTTCCATGGCAAGACCTTCGTCCTGAAGGTGAGTGAGTGAAGGGAGTTCCAGAGCCACTTGCTCTGTCTGGGGCTCCAGGAATAGGCCAAGGGTGCCAGTACTAGGTCTCCCTACCAGAGGGAAGGGCTGGGGTGCCCCAACTCCTCTGGTACCACCTAGCCCTGGCCTCCCTATACAGACCTTCCTGCCTTGCCCTGCCGAGCTGGTCTATCAGGAAGTGATCCTGCAGCCTGAGAAGATGGTGCTGTGGAACAAGACAGTGACTGCCTGCCAGGTAAGCCCTCCTGGGCCCTGTCTGCCATCTCTTACCACATGGGTCAGGGTGCAGTCACGCTTCCTGGTGACCATTTTCCCCCAAGGGAAATCCTCTAAGTGGATGCTGCCATAGTTCCACTGAACCAGTGAAAAGACTCAGTGTACTTACCAAATGCCTGGCCCAGGGCCTGCAGGTGGCCATGGCTTTTAGTACAGTGTCCTGGGCAGGGAGGAAGCCAGTGTGAGGTTCCTGAGGTGCCAGGGCCATCTGGGGGGCTTCCCCATACCTCACATCTCCCTGGTGGGTCCTCAGATTCTGCAGCGGGTCGAAGACAGCACCCTCATCTCCTACGATGTGTCATCAGGGGCTGCAGGTGGTGTTGTATCTCCTAGGTGAGTACCCAGGCCCTCTCCTCTCAGCCAGGCCTCCTACATTTGGGGCCTTGTTCTAACCTGCCTTCCCCTAGGGACTTTGTGAATGTCCGGCGCATCGAACGGCGCAGAGACCGATACCTCTCATCCGGCATCGCCACCACACACAATACCAAGCCCCCCACGCACAAATACGTCAGGTAAGCCTGGCCTGCCCCAGGCCATGAACAGCACAGAGTACAGTGTGTGTAGCCAGGGCTTTCCCTGCTGATTCTGAGGCCCTGTTCTGTGCCTTGCCCACCAAGGCCCTATCTATCCCAGCCCTAATCCTACTAATATTCCTGTCTGGGACCATGCTGCTGCCTTCGAGACTAGAGGGTTTGTGTGTGTAGTGGGCAGACATCTGGAATATTGCTGGAAATGAACCAAGGAGCTGGGAGGTAGCACTGAGCTCAGTCCTGAGTTTCCACTTCCTGCCTTGGCAAACATGGGTCTACCTTCCTTCTTCTTTTTGTCCTCTTCCCTTGGCTGAATCTTATCTTTGTGCTGGATGGCATGGAATCCCCTCAGAGGAAGAGGAGTTTAGTGTTCCTGCTGCCAAGAGGGCAGGGCCCAGCATTTCTTGCTGGCTAATCCAGTCTGCAGTGCTGGGGTACTAGGTAGATCTCATATGTCCAAGGGGTGGCTCCAGCAGAAAACACGCTTCAAGAATTTGCAGTTGGGGCCCTGTCTTGGTACTGCTGTGGCCTTGCTAGGTGATGGGCGTGCTTCTTTCCTCTGAGTGCCACTTATCTGTGAAGGAAGCTTAAGCTCAGTGGAAAGGCCATGGGAGGTGAACTGCAGCCTGAGGGCCAGCCGCCTCCCGAGAAGGCTCCCTCTTTTGAACTTGTGCTACCATTCAACTCCCAGAGTTGGATGGGGTGGGGGTAAGAAGTGCCACCCTAGGCTGCAGTCTCATAGCCAGAGCTTACCTTTCACCTCTGGATAGAGTAGATGTGGGCTGGGAAGCTGCCGAGCTCCCTGACACTGGGGTGTATGTTAGCACCAGCAGGCTGGAGTAGGCAGAATCAAGAGTCACAGACTGGGTGGAGGTGGAGACCAGATCTTGGGGCCATGTTCTGTTCAGCAGCCTCTCCATGGTGTCTCTCTCTTTAGGGGAGAGAATGGTCCTGGGGGCTTCATTGTGCTCAAGTCAGCCAGTAACCCTCGAGTCTGCACCTTCATCTGGATTCTTAACACAGATCTCAAGGTGGGATGATGTGGGGGGTGGGGGTTTGCAAGGCAGGCATTGTGGAATGGAAACTTGGTTGCTATGTGACTTTGGCTCACTGCCATGCTCAGGGACCCTTACTTTCAGCCACCTTTACTGGAAGATTGGGGGCAGGGTCCAGATGATCTTCTGGCCCTGAGTTGTGGGAGACATATGACCCCCTTTATTACTCCTGCTTCCTAAGGCCTTGGGAGGGGTGACTGGCTGCCAGCCCAGCCCCACCTGGGTCTGTTTGTGCAGCTGGTGCCAAGACCTGGGTACAGCATGTTCTCCCTCCAGGAGCAAAAAGAAAAGGGGGGCCCGGGTGGATTCCAGAGCTGCACCTGCCCTCTGGCCCAGGGAACCCTGCTAGTGTGAGCTGCAAAGGGGAGACCCTGCTGAGGGCCAGCTGCGGTGTGACTTCTCCCTCTTCCCTAGGGCCGCCTGCCTCGGTACCTTATCCACCAGAGCCTTGCTGCCACCATGTTTGAATTTGCCTTTCACCTGCGACAGCGCATTGGAGAGCTAGGGGCCTGGGCTTGACCATGCTCCCTTGCCACCCTGCAGGCCAGGGTTCTGTCATCATAGCCTCGAGCTGGAAAGAGGGGCTAGTTGGGCTTCCTGCTGCCGGTGAAGTACCACATTCCAAGCAGCAGGTGGCATCTTGGTCCCTAGCTATTGCCCTCCACCAAGCCATACTCTAGAAGCGTGAGCCTGAGCAGTTGTGGCACTTGATCTCTTGACCATCCCCAACTGAAGGAGAGGAGACTGTCCTGCCAGTGTTGACACAACATCACTGCCTTCTAGAGGAGGAGATCGTGCCCCATGCCTTGCTGGAAATCACAGAATTTGGGCTTGGGTAGGACAGGCTGGGCAGCCCATTACCAGTGTGACTGCTAGGATGGTTTTATAGGGTTATTGAAAGGGTCTGTGACCTTTTCCATATGTATTGTGGGAGTATAGGGAGAGGTGGGTTGGTGGGAGCTGGCATTGCATCTCTGCCTCTCTCTATCCTCCCCTTCTCCTAGGGCTTCTTTGGGACCTTTGTAATAATTTGAGCTGATTGAAAACGTGAAATAAAAACAAGAACAAAAATGGCTTTTCCTGCTGTGCAGCCTGGGCCTGGGCCTTACTGGGGGTCTGATCCTCAACAGAAATACCACCCAACCCTCACCAGCTTACCCAGGGCGAGCTAGTTTTTAGGTTCCCCTTTCCTGTATGGTTCTCACGAGTTGGTCCAGCCTCAAGTCTGCAGCCCACCTAGGGCTGGAGGTTTTGGAGGTAGAGCCTGGGCTTCAGGACCACTGAGGTACCTGTGGCACCTCAGACCCCAGACCAGACCTTAGGCTTACCAGGCCATTCGCTCCTCCACCCCACTACCCTCACACCAGGGGCAGTTTGGAGCCTGGTTTCCAGCCCAGGCCAGCCTTCTTGCCACCTCTCTTCCCTTCCTTTGTCCCTCCATGCTGGCTTCTGAAGGAGCCAGTTTGCTTAGAGCCAGTGGAGCCTTCTTGGTTCTAAGTGTGACACCCTGAACAAACCCTTTCTAAGCCTCATTTCCTACTTTGTCCAAAAAAAAAAAGTGTGTATGTAACCAGTGTCCTACCGTTGTGAAATGAAAGGTGCAGAGTGGGCAGACCTCAGGAATCTGTAATGTGCCTTTCTGCACCTGACAGCAGCAGGGTGCTCTGCTGCCTCTAGGAGTCCTCAGCCTCCTCTAATGGCTCTGCTCATCCGCTCTGCAGTGCTCTTATACCGCCCCCTCACCATGCCATGAGTTGCTCACTTGGGTGCTGGATGTCCTCATGACGTCTTTTTCCTCAGCTTCTTGTGAGTCAGTCCCCTCCCAGGTAACACCACGGAGCTGGCAGGTCTCAGAGCTTTTATGGTCATCCTACTGTAGCCAGAAAAGGAGAGAAAGTGAGACCCAGAAAGGGGCAGGGACTGTCCCATGGTCTCGCCACACCTTACAGGCAGCTTGGGGCTAGCACCAGGTCTCCTGAGTACCCCAGGGCTGAAGGTGTGGCATTAATGTCCCCTCCCCTCAGCTGGTATGTCACTTTGGGTACTATGTCTTCTTTGCAGCCACCTGAGGACATGGGTCCTTCTGGTCAAGGGGCCCAGCTAAGGGATGTGCCCTTGAGCCCAGGAAGGGGAGAGGAGCCAGCAGCCCTGGAGCAGAGTAAGGGGGAGCATCAGTTCCTGCTGTCTCCTGTTTACGGACAAACCGCTGTCATTCCTGAGCAAGGGGGAACAGGCGGGGCAGAGGGCAGTGCCAAGGTGGCACGAGGCTGGGCATGTGCTTGGTCTGAGATGGTGTCTGGGGAGTGTCAGATACCTGAAAGTGCTGCTCTGAGGACCCCAAATCCTACTAGAGCATCTTGCTTGCATTAGAGTGGCTGCTGATCTGGGGGCAGCCAGGGTCTGGGTATCCCAACCCCCACCCTGGACTTAAGTGCCCCCCCCACCAGTGAGTCTTGGCTCTGCTTTTAGCATCTGACACCAGAGGGGCCAAAAATAGCCCCTGGAGAAGGGGAAGAAGGGGACTATTTAAAGGGCCCGGGGAGGAGCCAGGCATAGCAGAGGGAGCAAGGCTTGATCATGGCCACTTCAGAGCTGAGCTGCCAGGTGTCCGAGGAGAACCAGGAGCGCCGGGAAGCCTTCTGGGCTGAGTGGAAAGATCTGACTCTGTCCACCCGGCCGGAAGAGGGGTGAGTATGGGTCAGCTGGAAGTTCTACCTCTGCTCCCCCAAAGCACCCTCTCCAAGTCATATGAGGTCAGAGCACACACCCTTGAAAGTTTCTGGGGACCCCTTATGCCCCCCAAGACCTGGCTGCCCCAGGGAGCTTCCACTCAACCCAGTATCACAGGGCAGTGGCTCCCTAGGGGGCTCACATCCCTCCTCTCCATTTCCAGCTGCTCCCTGCACGAAGAAGATACCCAGCGGCATGAGACCTACCACCAACAGGGGCAGTGCCAGGCAGTGGTGCAGCGCTCGCCCTGGCTGGTGATGCGCCTGGGTATCCTTGGCCATGGGTTGCAGGAGTACCAGTTGCCCTATCAGCGGGTGCTACCGCTGCCTATCTTCACCCCTGCCAAGGTGGGGGCTGCCAAAGAGGAACGTGAGGAGACCCCCATCCACCTGCGGGAGCTTCTGGCCCTGGAGACAGCCCTGGGTGGTCAGTGTGTGGAGCGCCAGGATGTGGCAGAGATCACCAAGCAGTTGCCCCCTGTAGTGTCTGTCAGCAAGCCTGGAACCCTTCGTCGTACCCTGTCCAGATCCATGTCTCAGGAAGCGCAGAGAGGCTGAGCAGGACTGTGACTCAGGCTCCACCATGCCTGCTCTGGGCTGGGCCCTTCCTGGCTAGTACCACAGAGGAAAGCTGCTGGCTGTGGCTGCTTTGTAGTTTTCCCAGAGTTGGGGGCTATGGGAGAAGGGAGCCAGAGGCCAGGATGCCTGGGTCTCCTGGATTCACAAAGGGAGGGGTGCAAAGGTGGGCACTGGAAGTGGAGAGCTGGGGGCCAGTCCAACTGGGCACCCTCAGCCTCAGAAGGGACAAAAGATGCTGGTGAGGGCAAGAGCCCCCTGGGAACAGTGACCTGGTTCAAGTTTCAGTTACAAAAAAGGAGTAGAAGTGAGGGGATCTGGAATGCTCTGGGTAGGAAACTTGGAGATGAGGAAAGAGGATGTGAAGAGGGCAGAGGCAGGGCAGGCCCCCAGCACACTCTGTTAGCGCTACAATAAATGCTCAACCATGTTCCAGGCTCCTTTCTTTCCTTGTGACTGTGTGTGTGGGGGGGGTGTCCACTGGTGTCCCCCATACACTTATGGAAACAACTCTGCATCTGAGCTAAACATGGCACAGCTAGAGGGTACACCTCATGCTTGGGGGTGGGGTGTAGGGCAGAGCTGTAAACAGGGTGACTGTCCAGTTCCCCTTCCTGTACCATTGCCCAGTCCTGGCTTCCATGTCCAATTCCTGGCACTGGGTAGTGCCTAGCAGGCCAGCTGGCATTGGTTGGTTTAAGTGATATCTTGTGGAGACTATGGAGGGGGCTGGCAGCAGAGCTGTTCTTGGCTGTGCCTTGGGGTGTGGATGGGGTCAAAGACCCTAAGGCCTCTCAGTTGTGAACCAGACAGAATCAATCCTTGGCTAGAATCAGGTGCTCCACCCACCCTGGCCTAAGTGGGGTGTGTGTGGGGAAAGCCAGGGTCAGGTTCCTAGTCTGTGACCCCTACAGCTGTTGTAATGACTCAAATTCCAACTTGGCTGGCTGGCCCAACAAGGAGACTTTCCCCTTGGGACAAGGAAGAGGCACAGAAGAGGCCTGGCTCAAAGGCAGCCAGGACTATCTTGGCAGAAGCTGGGGTCCTACCTAATGCAGAGGCACAGGACTCACGCAGAGGAGCCCCTCTTCAGGAAGACGCTGCTTGCAGCGGTGGCTTTCTATTTAGAGTAGATGAGAGAGAAGACTGGCATCTTGTGTGCTTGGATACCTAGAGCACCAAGCAGAGCCTGCAAGCCAAACCTGGCCAACTCCCAAAAGGGACATGAGTGTGGACTGCGAGAGGCATCTGAGACGGGGTACCGCCGATGCCAAAAACGCAAGATGTGCCCCCTAGTGGCCATGAAGCATGAAGCGCGCGCTCCGCTCCCTCCGCCTTTACCTGAGTCCTGTGTCCCCGAAGTGCTGGGAACATCCCGAACCTGCCTCGGCCACCAGCCCCCAGATTAGCAGCTCACAGGACCCGCAGGGGATGCCCGCTGTTCCGCTTGCTAAGTGCATTAGCTCTGCGCACCTCCCTTGTCTCTGCAAGCCATCGGAGGCGCCTGCTCTGGGGCCCCGGGGCACCCCGACCGGTCAGAACGGACTGTCCTTTCTAGAGGAGGGGAGGAGCGCTGGGGGACAGCGGAGAACGGGAGTCGGGGTGAACAGCAGGGGGTGTTTAAGGGGTGTCTCGAGAGGGGAGGGGATTTGGGGTGCTCCCTGCTCGACGAGGTCGGGGGAGAGGGTGGTGACAGGCTAATTCAAACCCGGGGAAAGAGAAGGGATTGGATGCCGGGCAAAAGGTGATGGCTGCGGGAGGCTGGAGAGGAGCGGGAAAACAGGCCGGGGGTTCTGGAGTTGAGGTGGGGGCGCGGGACCGCACTGGGACTGGCGGGGGAAGCGGAGGGCTTCAAGTGCGGAGGTAGGGTGGGGCGAGAGCTGATGTTCCAGCGGGCGTTCCTCATCCTCCGCGCGTCTGCTGCTCTGACACTAACCGAGATGGATTGGGTGGTGGAGACGCCGTGGCCCCGGGCGCCACATCGCTCAGCCGCCGCCCCCGCAACGGAGGGATGGGGCGCGGGTCCAGCGGTAGATAAAGGGATGGCGAGGCAAGCGGGGGACAGGAGGCCCCAACAGTAGCATGAGCGGCACAGACCCGAGCCACGCTTCGGGCACGGTCCCCTACTCGGACTCCGGCCGAGCGGCGGTTGCCTCGGCTTACCAGCGCTTCGAGCCCCGTGCCTACCTCCGCAACAACTATGCGCCTCCTCGCGGAGACCTGAGCAGCTCTGATGGCGTCGGGCCTTGGAAGCTGCGCTGCATGGCTCAAACCTTCGCCACAGGTGAGCAGTGGGATCTAGGCACATGAGGGCCCAGAAGTCATCAGGAAATGCTAGGGGCACACAAGAGAGAAGCAAGCATGCACCCTAGATGGGAACCAAGAAGCAGACAGCTAGCAGGAACAGAAAGGCGAGAGAGTTAGCTAGGCTCAACGGCGCAGGGTTGAAGCCTACTGGGGAAGGGAAGCAGGAGGATGGCTTGAGCCCAGGAATTAGTCAGGCAACAGAGACAAACTTGAGGAGAGAGGAGAGGATGATGCTAGGGACTGAGGGACAGGTGGGGAGATGCAAAGAGAGGCAGAGACAAGGCAGGTGCAGAGAGAAGAGGGACACAGAGGTTGGGGAGCACAGAGGGAAATGCCAGGCAACTCTGGATCTCCTCACTTAATCCTCACTAGAGTGAGTTTTCTAGGGCTGGAACCTGAGTCAGAGGAGCCAAGCTATCTTTCTAAGGTAAGTGGCTCAGGATGGAGCCAGGGCAGATACTTACCAGAGAGAAGGAAGAGCTGGGGAGAGGGCAGGTGAGGCAAGGGAGGGAGGGTTGGCCTACACAGGGCCACCTGGAACTTGCTTCCTCTGCTCCCCCAGGTGAGGTGTCTGGACAGGCCCTCATTGACATTGGCTCCGGCCCTACCATATACCAGCTGCTCAGCGCCTGTGCCCACTTTGAGGACATTACTATGACAGACTTCCTGGAGGTCAACCGTCAGGAGCTGGGACTCTGGCTGCATGAGGAACCAGGAGCTTTTGACTGGAGTGTGTACAGCCAGCATGCCTGCCTCATTGAGGGCAAAGGGTGAGAGATGGGCAGGGGCATTCCTGTGGAGTGGTGAGTGGGTGGTGGAGGGCAACAGAGGGCTGATGGGGCAGTCCTGAGCCCTGCCTTGTGCTCCCCCACAGTGAGTCCTGGCAGGAGAAGGAACGCCAGCTGCGAGCAAGGGTGAAGCGAGTCCTGCCCATCGATGTGCACCAGCCCCAGCCCCTGGGCGCTTCAAGCCTGGCACCCCTGCCTGCTGATGCCCTGGTGTCTGCCTTCTGCTTGGAGGCTGTGAGCCCAGATCTGGCCAGCTTCCAGCGGGCGCTGCATCACATTACCACATTGCTGAGGCCTGGGGGACACCTTCTCCTCATTGGGGCCCTGGAGGAGTCATGGTATCTGGCAGGGGAGGCCAGGCTGGCCGTGGTGCCAGTGTCTGAGGAGGAGGTGAGGGAGGCCCTGGTACTTGGTGGTTATGAGGTCCGAGACCTTCGCACCTACATCATGCCTGCCCACCTCCAAACAGGTGTAGATGATGTCAAAGGCATCTTCTTTGCCTGGGCCCAGAAGAAGGCGGGGATGCAGGTGTAAGGGCCCCATGTGCCAGGTGTCCTGTGACCCTCCTCCACCCAAGCTCCCTAGTACCTGAAACAGCAACTAATAAAGCAACCATTCACTGCTATGTCAGTGCCCTCTGTGACTCTCCCAGAAGAAGGGCAGAGATCTCCTCTGACTGCATAGGCATGGGAAGGACCAACCCTAGCTTTCCTTTTGTTCCCCAGAACCCTCCACGAACATTGCTTTCTGTACCATCCATTTTTCCCCAACCCAGGGAGGCCAACATCAGGAGGGCTCATGCAGCACCTGCCGCATGCCAGGCACTTGTGTATTTCCAGCTGCCACCCAGCCTTGCCTCAGTAGCAGGTCCTGTCAGCCTGTCTCCAGGCTAAGCTCAGGGAGCTTGAATAACAAGAGCCAAAGCTGGAGGGCCAGGAGACTGAAGTGGATGGTAGGGAGGTGTTGAGGTCCAGACATAAACACAGGCCCGGGAGGCAAGAGGAAGGAGCAGGCACCAACACCCTCCCCAGGCTGGCCTTGAGCTCTGCCTAGCTCCATGCCTGCTCTCTGCCACCTTTATCAGCATGTGCCTGGGTAGAAATTTGCCTGTATCCACTGCCTCTGGCAAGTGATGCCACCATTCCCTCAGCCTACCTTATGCACACAGAGGAGCAGAACCAGAGTGAGTGAGGCTGAGAATTGGTTTATTAAGCATGTTCCCTAATGCCTCTCACCTTAAAATTATTTAGTATCAAAAAAACCCTAATAGGCTGCCCAAGTTCCTGAGCTAGAAGCCTGGCACAGGTTGCCGCCCCACAAAGAGGGACTGAGGGATAGGGACAGAAACCAGCTGTAGACTCTCTTCCCAATGGATGTAGGCTATATGGCCCCTGCTTGCCCTGGGATTACCCTGGAACAATGGGTACCTCTGAGAGTGGGGGCAGAAACCATACTCAGACATAAGCTCCACATCCTCTTCCTTCACTGCCCAATATCCCCAAGGACGAGGCTGTGGCAAGGGGCTAGAGCATGGAACTGGAGAGGCCCACCATAGCAAGGTAAAGAGACAGGGAGGCAAGAGGGGACCCCTTCTTTCCTTCCTCTGCCCTCCAGGGACTAGTTCTAGAAGGTTCTCTCGAGGCATGTGGGGGTCCTGAAGTTTGGAGTGGGGTGCAAAGGGGCACTAGATAGACACACACAACCAGTACCCTAGAGCCTATCAGATCATGTGTGCATGCTGGTAGCTGGCTGAACTTGGGGTCTTGGGCAGACTTTATACTCAAATGACTGCTGACTGTGACTTGATCCCCATCCTGTCCAGCTTCCCACCACATGGCCATTCACACTCATCACACACATACTTTTCCCAAATCACCCTCACCTACCTGCCCCTTGAACACATACCCATTCTCTACACTATAGACTGAGGCCCACCCTTATGTCCATCCCCATTAAACCCATGCTCACTGACTGACTGGTCACCTCTGTCTTTGGCCTGGCCCATATCCCTCTGGGTGCTGATGGATTCACTACCAACCAGAACAGCAGCCCAAGGTTCTAGTCCTGGGCCCTCTGGGGTTCTGGAAACCAAAGGCAAGCATGGCTGGTGCAGGAAGCAGGGTAGAAACTCCTCCCCAGTCCCATTCTAGCATCTTGGCCCCTCAGATATAGGAGGAACCCAGCAGCTGGAGAACAGGCATCCAGTGCCACCTAGTGGTGCCCTGGAGGAGGGTGGGGCAAGAGAAAAAGACAAAGTACCCTAAAGGGATGATGGTATTTGGCCTCCTACAGGTAGGAGTGAATGATGTGGGGAGGGAGCATGGAGGGGGACAGAGGTACCACTCCTTTCTATAGACCTCAGAACTTGGTCTCAGCCCAGTTTAGCCCCTGAAACAGGAGAGTTGCCTGCTCCCTGTCCCAGATGTCAGGAAACCACTCCCAGGACAGGCTCCATGTCCTGTGAGGACCAGCAAGGGGCAGGTGGCTACAGGATTCCAGGTCCACACACCTCATGTTCAAGTTCAAGAAGCTAAAATGAGAAAATAAATCATCTCAAGGGGGAGAAGGAAGGAGCAGCAGGAGGGGGCAAATCTGCTCCCAGGTCTTCAGTCCAGTTTGAACTTGGCTTCTGATTCCTTCAGTAGGTACAAGCTGTCATCTTCCAGAAATCTGTGGATTGAGAGAGGAGCCCACTGAGGCAGGCACTCAGTTCTGAGAACCTCCCCAGGCAGGTGGGTGAGAGCAGGCAAGTGGGAGGGTTAGGTGAGCACAGGTAAAGGGAGCTGGGGGGGTGGCACCAACCTGAAAAAGAGGACATAGACAGGAATAGTGCTGATGTGCCAGATGGCATGGGCGTCCAGGACCCAGAAAAGGGGTGGAAAGTCCAGTAGCTCCAGCAGGGACAGTCCCTGCAGCAGTAGGACCACCAACATGCACTTTCGTGTGTGAGGCAGGTGCCGGTGGTTTCGCAGGCACCAGGCCAGCCACCATGCCAGATTCACCAGACCTGGGTGCCGTGGACGGAACAGGCTCATTTGCTGGACCCAGCTGCCTTCATCCCCAGCTGCCTTCCTGACATTTCCCCTGACTCTCCTCTCAGCCTTCCATCTCAGCTTCCCACAGCTCCCAAGGGTCTCTCCAGAACCTCCCCCCAGAACCTGTCCCTAAGCCCACCCATAGTTTGGCAAAGGGCCTCACCTATAGCCACATTGGCCATCATGTTGTAGCCATAATCGAAGTGGATGAGGCTCAGGTAAGAGATGTGTGCAGTCAGCAGCAGTAGCAGGAGGGCCCGGAAGGCACTGGCCACAGCTGGGTGCTGCAGTCCCACGGTCCTGTCCAGTCACCCAGAGCAGCTCAGATGGTGGCTGGCTGTACCCACATCAGTGTGCCCTGAACCATTTGCTCCCCAACATATGTGAGGGCTTGCTGACACCACTGTCTTTTTCCCTGTCCCAAGTCAGCTGTTTCCCAGGGACCAAGGCTCCTGTTACTGGCTCCTGGAGAAGCCAGGTCCCTCTACCCCTGGTGTCCCCATGCAGGGCAGCCTTGCAGGAGTATGAGGAAGCTAAGGAAGAAGGCCCCAGCAGCACCTTCTCTGCCCCCAGTCCCATAGGCTCACCTGACACAGCACAGGTAAATAGAATGCAGGATGACAGCAGAGGCACAGAAGTAGTCCATCTTCTAAGGATGGGGAGAGCCCATGAGGGCCAGGTGAGGGGAGCAGGGCACGGCAGGGGGCAGGGCCCACAGAGGAACCACTGGGGATGGGGCATCAAGGGGACAGGGTCTGGGCTTGCAGTGGGTGGGGCTTTGCCTTGTACTCCTTCTGCTGGTTCACAGTGCCTGCATTACATAATGTTTTAGAACTGCTCAGCAGTGAGATGCTCATGACTTCAGGGGGGTGGCACCACCACGAAATTCAAAATGTCATCTGGGGTGTGACAGGCATGGACTCCAGTCCTGACTGCACTAGCTGGATGACTCTGAGCAAATGCCTTCAGCTTTTCTAGGCTCAGTGGCCTTAAGGGTCAGAAAGCCAATACTAAAACCCTCCTGGAAAGATGCAGGTGAGACTGTGCATGCCAAGTTTGGGATGCCCAGCAGAGACACAGTTCTACAAAGATGCCAGTCCCTCAGCAGAGCTGCCTTCCCTCTGTGGAGCCCGCTCTGCCCCCTCCTGGGCTCCTCAGGGACTGTCCCATGCAGGGGGCTAGGAGGAGCTCACCTCTGTGAGGTCAGTGTCCCTGGTGTGGAAGACTGTGGACCAGAACCAAGCATTGAGGGATACCTGAGGAAGGACGGGTCAGTTAGCATACTGTTCAAGGTAGGGGAGACCCTAGAGGACACATACCCCTGGCTTGTGGGGCTCGGTCTGTATCCCAGAAGCCCTCTGAACAAACAAAGCACTCACCCCTATCCAGTCCAGTTCCCTCAGGGGAGCTTCCCACCACCCTAAATTGCCACCCAGCCCCCCACCCAACCCCAGGCCAAAGGGGCTGCAGCTTCCACAGGTTCAGGCCTGGCTGGGGAACCAGTCCTGGCAGTTAAGTTCCTGGGTTACCCAATCTCTAAAACAACAGCCCCCAGGGCCCAGCCTCCTCCTCCACTGCCAGGTGATGATAGCTCCATCCCAGCCCAGTGGAGCTAGTGACCTCAGCCTCTGGGGGTGGGAAGAAGTGGGTGGGGTGGAGGAGCTTGAGCCAGCTTGGGGTGTGTCGGGGGAGCAGCAAACCAGAGAGGGAGATCAAGCAGATCCCACTGGGACCCAAACTCTGAGGAGGACTGGGGCCAACCTAGCCCAGTTTCCTTCTGGATGGGCCAGCCAAACCCGCTGGGCCAGTGGCTGCTCTGGAGTTCTGGGAGGAGCAGGGGCTGGACTGAAGAAGCTGTGGCTGGGGGAATGCTGGAGGCCATCTTCCTGGAACTGAAGTGTAGAGAGTGAGAATCTTGTAAATACACCATTCCTTTTGTGGAATTGGTCCTGGAACTTTCTTCAGGGCCTGCTGTGTCCACAGCTGAGGCCCAAGTAACTCAGAGAAGGGCGGGCTGGGGTGGAGACAGAAATGGGAGGCTGGGAAACCAGAGGCAGCTAATCAAAGAAGGAGCAGGGCCTGCCATACCCTGGAGGTGGGGAGGGATATGCAGGGGGGACAGGCCTGCCAGAGTTGCCTGTTTAAGTACCAGGACAACTGGCCAGGCAGGGACACAGGAAGCAGGCCATGAAGCCAGTCTGTAGAATCAGTCCAGTGGCAGGAAGGCCAGACATGGCGGAGTTCCTGGGCAGGCCAGGAGCTGGGGGGAAGAGGGGGCAGCGTGGAGGCAAGGCAGGGCAAGCTGGGTAGGCAGGAGACACTTCTGCTGTGGGCTCTGGGAGTACCCTCTCTACCCCTCGCTGAGCCTGGTTCTTCTGCTGGCTAGCCCCATAGAAGGTGCTTGCCACTCAGAGCCACCCCCTGCCTGATGCCCCCCCCCCCCGAAGCCTCGCCTCTGCATCCTTGAAGAAGGCCCTGAGGAATGTTTTTTGGTGGGGTTCTTCTACCCCCTTCCCCC